GGGTATTTCATTTTTAAAAACCCGCTCGGTTCGGTTCGGTTCGGTTCCGGTTCGGTTCGGATATTTTGCCCAGCCCTAGAGAGGAGTAAATAGAATTTACCTTGTTGAAGGATCTTGGTCAGAGGATGTCGGTGTGATTTGAGGAGCAGCAGCTTAATCTTATATACAATTTTGTATAGGATGCTGATAACTCTGCGCTCAATGGCCGTCTTCCCAGGAAAAGGATAAATCTGCTGTCTTCTGTATTGATAAAGATAGTGCAAATGGATTTTCTTTATTTTATCAGCATTGCTGGAGTTTTTTGTTCATCGAGATGTCTGGCATGTAGTACAGACTTCTTTGATTCTTCTCCTAATCCTAGAGGTTTCACATCGACTACTATTTTCCTGTTTCCATACAAGGAAAGTGTTTCATTTAATCCAATCATTTTATAAACTAGGTTTAGTAAAATTATACTGAAGATTTGATGGCTCGCTTAAATTTGATATTCTCCTTCGCAGAGTGGTTTTGTACCAAGTAGACTTATTGGAGATAATATTCTACTAGCACAAGAAAGACAGCATAAAGGAAGAGCGATATGGCCAAGGCATGGCCAACTTGTGTTCCACTCTATATGAGCTACATATACAACACAATCAGGGGCGGACCCAGAGTATTTGTGTTGTGGGGTCGAAAATGAGATTTCAAAAATATTTAGAACGACATATCATTAACAAAAATAAGTCAACGTGATATTACAACTGTAGTATACGCTCTATCACAACTATAGCCAAACATAGTAAAGTCAAAAGTTTTTAACATTTTTTTCCCACTCAAAACAAGTAAAAGTCAAAAGAATCAAACAGCCAATCCATGTCTTAGTTACAGAATCAAAGATCTGATCATAAGCAACAAAACCCAGATTAGAAATTATACGTACAGGAAGATGAGGAATATAATCAGAAAAGTGTGGGACGTACTCCAGAATGTAACCAAAATCTCCACTCACGATTTTGGGCTGCAAATTTTTGAGTAATCTTGTTCCCTCCATTGAAACAAACCCATTTCTTGGATTCGAACCAGCTTTTTCCTTATCATCACTTGCAAAAATTTCAGCAGCACCACCATCAGTGACAGAGTTAGACACGATCGACTCCATTAATATGAAAATCGCAAGTAACCAGCTTCAGAATGTGGAGGTAGAGCGGCATAGGCGGAGGCAGAGGTAGAGCGACAGAGGTGGAGGCGGAGGCGGAGGTCTGGCTGGAATCGCTTGTCGCTGGAGAGGGCTGTGGCTGTGGCTGTGGCCTGTGAGAGAGAGTGAATGTGTTTTTGATTTCTTGGATTGGGCTAGTGTAATTGGGTTTGGGTTAGTGAAATTGGGCCAGTGGATTGGGCTGCTTGGTCGTAAGTGTTAGTTCGAAAAAAAAAACTGCGAGGTCATCTGACCCCACATGACCCCATGTAGGTCCACCCCTGCCGCCACCATACATATTTAGGAGCAAAATAATCAGGCAGCTGTAGAAGTTGTCTCATTTTTTTTTCCTTTTGAAAAAAAAAAAACAGGAGTTGGTACTTCTTGTTCCTATATTCCAATATCATAGTCTTGATCTCGTGCT